TCTGTTTCTTCATTGTCATCGTGGCCAAGCGTGATTGTCTGACCTGATATTTCAATCAATCTGGCTTCTGGGGCGTCTCTCTCCGCTGATTCCCAATGTGGCGGCACGACACCTTGAGGAGGTAGGGTATTATTTGATTGCACCAGCATATAAAGAATAGTTTCAAGATGCATTGCTTCGTGTTCAAAAGTCATCCAAAGTACACGTGCTAGACTACGTGACGTGTTTTTATGATGAACATCGTAGACCTTTAAAAGTCTTTGTCTCACTTGATCACGGAATTTTATGATGGAATCAATATCAGGCCACTTGTCAGGGACGATGGAATGCGGATTGCAGAGACTTGGATCTTCCATGTCAGGATCGATGCCTCGTTCAAAGATATCCGCGAAATTTGCTGGTTCAGTATATTCTTCTTTAAAATATCGAGCTAAAAGGATGTCTAAAAATGCGGGAATATGTCCAATGTAAAAGATGAATGGATGACGTAGAGCTATCGGTTTTTCTAAATGCATATGCGAGGAAATCATAGTCATGGAAACAGTATCCCATGATTTCCATAATTCATGCCATTCTTCAAGGGATGGAACTGATGTTTGATGATCACGTCGAAAATGGAATGGCGGTTTTTGAACAAGATGCAAATCATAAAGCGCTTGCGGGTCTGGCCAGCTTTTGACCAATACCATACGAGTATTGTGTATCAATTCAATGGTTTCTGAAGGCGCGTACTTGTAAGAATATTCGATGTTAATAAGTTCGCCTTCTGCCAAAATGATTTTCGTAGTTGCTTTTGTGTTTGGTGACACATATTCCAATGTTTGATCAATCTTTGATTTGTAGTAAGCTTCATGTCTTCCTTCTTCATTATTGTATCTCGCGAAATATTCAAAATTATCACGATCAATGAAAGGCGCGCCAATGATGGAATTCACGTGATTTAATCCATTCATGATGAATTCTTCTGTAACTCGCATCGAATCGTTATACGCGATCGTCACCTTTTTAGGATCATTTCGTCGGTCAATTCCAAACAAGAAAAGGTCACCGACATTCATGGCCTGTTTACGAAAAGTGTCGACAAATTGACAAGCTTCATCTCTATTAGAATTCCCGAGAGAAGATCCCAGCCACATGATCATTTTTGGTGTTTCTTTCGTCAATTTCGAGACAAATTCCATCCCTTCTTCATAGGTACCCAAAAGACCCACAAGAGTCACGTTTGAAAAACTACCCAAAGATGACAAAGACTTCCGCAACTCGTTTTCCATGAGATCGAGAGCATAATAAGTTACATCCTTTTTATTGCTCTCCAACGCTTTGAGTATGAGTTGTGTCTTACGAAGTGAGCTATTGTTGTTTTAATCGAATTTGTAAAAAAGATTATATTTGAAATCAATCCGACAGACAGTTAATTTGTAAAAATGCGATACTTGAGACGGACGATGATCTGTTTCGAATGAATACACCGTTTTCATAATCCGAATACAGTAAAAGAAAAAAAGGTCTCGGCACAATAAAAAGAATATTTACCCCGCGCCCAATTCAATTATTGCACTTCCGTCCTTGACATAAGCTACAATCTCATCAACTTTCCGATTCAAAATATCGATCTCACAATTGGTCAAATAATATTCATCTAAATACGTGATTTGATCGAACAACTGTAGACCTCGATCATCGTAAAGAACTATGGTGGGGATAGACTTCATAGCTGAAGACGGCTCGGGAGTAAGCCCCTTCAAAATATCACGAACCAAATGAAGTTTGGCGGTTTCTTGTTGACGAACGTCAAAAATTTTAAAGTTTTGATTGTCATTTGCGGGAATTGCAGACGGTGACATTCTAACGGAGGTTTCTTATAAAAATACAAAGTATTTTTATGTTGCGAAAAAATTACGATTGCTCCTTTCTATTTATTTAAAGTCAAATATGTGTTTATTTAGGAAATATCGTTCTTTGTGAATAAATATATAGAGTTAACTAGCGATCCGCGCCGCGTAAAAATCATATTGTCCATATTTAGGTAGATTGATTGAAATAATAAATCATGATTATCAACTATAATAATGATAACGATACAAACAAGGGATCGCTTGAATTTTTCCCGCTAACTGACAAACAAGGAATTATAAAGTTTTTAAGTTTTTCCCGTTTATAGCCAAACACACAGAAAACCAGTGTGGACTGTCATAATTGCGTCAAACTTTCACAATATCCGGTACCTGCCTATTGAAGAAAATTCATTTAAATTCACTTCATGCATGTGTAATGTAGACACATGCTTTGCTTTTAATCAAAAATTTTTATAAAAATTTTCTTTTAGCAAATGTGTTTGTGCATGGTTGGACTTGGACTGAACTAGACTAGTTCGAGTGACCATGTCCATTGTTCCATGTAAGAATTTTTTCATTATTGCCTATTTAGCTAGCTTTATTTCTGGGACGGTTCATGCACGATAGAGTTTAACTAAAGTTCAAAGCCACCACTTATAAAACATACCGTATTATATTTCACATAACAAATGAAATCCAAAACATACAAACATGGGTTAGTTTTTATTTTCGAAGGTAGATTATTTTTCGGAGATATTCGGTACGTCCAAAGATTATGAAGACAATGAATGACCAATGAAATGCATGTATTTTATATTAATTTCAGTAAATAAACTTTCACTTCCTTTGGCAAATCTATCTTTTGCAAAGTAATATCTTCTTGTTATTGCTTTCTTTTGATTGAACAAATTCTTTGATAATTGAATCTTTAAAAATCAATTCATTACTTTAAGCTGCCGAATTTTTGTATAATTACCAATTTATATTTAAATATTTCTATATAGTAATGAGAGTCTAGTTGGTTTATAATAATACACTATTTACTAAAGATCCATAGTTACGTTATAATTAGATCAAAACGTGAATTGTATTAAATCATATACTTTTCCTTTTTGTAAGTTTATTGCTAACAAAATATTTTTCCTAATAAAGGAATGAAATCAATATCGTGTCTGGTATGAAAATTGGTATCGATTGTATGATTAATCTAAAAATGGAAAAAATTACATGCTTATAATGTCAAAGAAGAGCTTACTAAAAAATATTCCAATTTTAAATAACAGAACTCTTGATATAATGTATTATTTAACGATATAATCAAATATTCGTTGATATCAAATCGTTTCATGTAAGATTTAACTAACGAAATCACATTTTTCATCCGATTCTAGTTAAGAAAACTTACTATACAAGAAAGACTACAATGTGAGGATATTTTATGTTCCATTGAAAGCATAAGAACACGTCTAAATACTATTCACACTTGAATTTCGTATAAATAATAATTAAACTCAAACGTAACCAATTTTTTTATTCTCGCTAATTTCTGGCTTACACGTGACTGATCATGTGACGTAAATTACAAGTTGAAATCTTGTATGACTAAAATGATATTTAAATGAAGTATTCTCAGTATCTCAGCGCCATGTTTATCCATTAATGTTTTTACAACACCAAGGAATTCAGGTCCTCGAACAGGCACAAGTACCTTTGGCCATGTGAGCGTGAATTATGAGAGTATCTGCAATCTCCACTATTTTTAGAAATTTTGAATGGAAAAATGTTTAATGTTTTTGACATTCGATCCAAAATCTTTACGAATATTCAAATCAATCAATCAATCAATCAATAAATAACTATATTTTAAGACACGAAGATTAATTTTTCTAATAGTACAACGTTTGCTTATTTTAATGATGATATTATTTTTGTAATTCTCCCACGACAAATAATTTCCCTAGGGTAGGTCCGGCATATTGATTCAATTGTTTGCAATAATTATTGATTTGCGATGTTATTAATAGACTATCGAGTTTTGAAGGTTCAGGTGGTAATTTGAATAATTTGTTTATATCCTCTTCAGGAAGTGGCTCTAATCCAGCTGCTTGACGCGATTGATTTTCTTGTTTCTTTAACGCGTAAAAATAACGAGTTAACACGATAATAATCACTCAACCATCCAAGCAATAATTAGAAAACTAAACATACCCTTTTCTGCATATATTGCTGGATTTTAGTCTGCTCACGTGCATAACTTCGCTGCCAGAAAGCAAGATTACTCTGTTCTTGACCAAATTCTTCCACCGAATCCAACAAAAGTTCCAAATTCTTCTCGATATAAGGATCAAGACTCAGTTCCAGCATATCGAAATTCGGCGTAAGTGGAACCTCGACCTTATCTTTATCCAAGGCTTTTGTCGGCAGCGGTTCGTACTCATTTAAAGAATGGAGAAGCGCAGTCACAAGATGAGAATTTTTGATTGTGATCGGTAGTTCCTCGAACATATTCGAGAATGTGAGTTTATTTTTTTGTAATGATTCGTTGGTGAATTTTCCTTCTTTTTGTACTTCCATGAATGAAGGAGTAAATCGAAATGCTCGTAGTGATATGTTTCCATGGGTTGATCGTGAAACATCTTATATAAGAAAACAAAAAGTTAAATGAATCATTTGTAAATTAAAAAGAATGCAACTGAATGTGCACAAAATATACCATGAATGATGACCACGCTCTTATTATTAAAAGTTTGTTGATAAAAGTATTGAGTCTTGATTAGATTAGGTGTCAGAAAAGAGCCGAGATAAGTCGATTGATACCAACCAACCGGATTATGATCAACGTTAATTTCACGTAGGCATCTCATCATTTCAACCTGATATTTTGCCACTATAATTAAGAACCATGACCGAGGTTTAGGTATAGTAAACTTCCTTTAATTTTTTAAGTTAAATCAAAAAAAAAAAATACCATCAAGTTCATTTTCGTCGTCGCTTTTTGAACTCGGAAACGGAAAACAATTTGTCACCTCCAACACCCCACTTATGTCCAAACCAAGGAGTTGACCGCTAACTGTTGCAGGAAAAGCTTCACGGCAATGTTTGATGATTTTCAAGACTACCTGTAAAATTCTCAGAGATAAGAAACCATTCCAAGAGATTCATTTCTGCAATAGATCTTACCAGACCATCAAGTTGCACGCTTTCGAGTGGAATAGTCCCCTCTATATCTAAAGCAGCTGTAACGTTTAAACTTAGGTTAGCCAAGCCATCTTTTGAGTTTGTCGCGGGAGCCGTTGAAGCCATCTTTATCAATATAACAATAAAAAAAACATTTTTTATGGCTATTAACATTAGATCATCCATAAACAACGTGTAGTGCACGTGTAGTGTTGGCCAAAATTATAACAGTAATTTACATAGTCGATTATTATATCGATACATCAAAATTCAAGGTTGACCCCTGGACCAGTCCAAGAATGTTGTCCAAAGATCTACATAATTAAATTACTAATAAAACTGTCCAAGGGCCAACCTTGAATCAAAATCTATTATTTATGTGCCATATTTAGCCCAAGCAAAGGGAGGCGGCAATGTTTTCATAATTTCAGCGCGAGGTCTTTCAACCACAACTAGCGAATCTTCTTTTACATAATCCACAAAAATCAATGATTGATATTTACGGATCATTTTGAAATTAATCCGAGAAATTTCATCCTGCAAAATATGATTAATATTTCCACGAGGGGATGATATATCGTGATATGTTTGTAGTAATAAAGATTTACGAAGAAACACATCAATCTCTTGATCCGGATCACCAACTTCTTTGCTTATATCAACGATACATATGAAATTTGCACTCCATAAGAGTATACTCTCCGGTCGTCCTGGATTGAATGTACATCCCATAATCTTTTCTTTTAATTCGAGAAATTTCAGTGGTAATTTTGTTGAATAATTTCGTGACCAGTCAGTTAGATTTTCCTTTTGCAGATCAAATAGATAAAATTCGTTTGAGGTTAAGGTGATGAGAAGAATCGATGAATTTGGACTGAAAGTGAGTCCATTTTGAAGTGATTGGAATTTTTGAACTGGTATATAATGCTATAAAATTTATTGAATATAGTTTAAATAAAAAAAATTCCAAAGGTCAAAACTAAAAATTACTATAGTTATGCTCACCGATAAATTTTTAAGATTGAATATATAAATATTATTCGACAAGTCTCCCGTTGCCAACCATCTACTATCATTACTCACGACAATCGTTGTAATCGTTGAAGCCATTTTGTTTTTTTCGGCATCTCGTGCGTGATTGTCAAAACACGCAAGAACATCAAATCTACCTTGATGCCAATTATTTAATCCGACAACGACAACATATGAATCAACGGTAACCATAATCAGTTTTGAATTATCGGGTGCGAATAAGAGATGATGTGCACCAGTCGCAAATTTTTTAGAGCTTTGAGAATATATTCGGCAAAAATCTTTTATTTTATGGACAATCATGTGTTTGACTGGGTCTTTTTCAATTCTGAATAGCTTTACTTCTTCCACGTCTGCAACAGCGATCCAATGTCCGTCTTCTGAAAGAGCACTCGAGAATAGATTAAGAGTACCCTAATAATTGACACATTTTTGCGATAATTAGTAAGAGCTATAGAATTTTGAATAGCGATAAAACGATCTTTCTTACCTTTAAAGAAATCTCTAATACTGCTTCTTGTCGTTCAACCAATGGTAATAACATGACATCCACCTTGTTCATTTCAGAGGATCGAGGTGGCATAGCTGCTATTATTTTATTTATATTTATATTCAGTAAATTACGAAACAAAAATTCTTTACAACAAATATCAAAAATAAGATCGAGATCAAGTCACCTTTTCCTAGCTTCCATAACTTTATTCCATTTGACGACCGATACATTAGCAGCTGCTGCGTTTTTGATAATGAAATTAAGTCACGGTAAAAAGCCGGAATACGATGACAATAAACATTAGGAAAGTTTTCCAATGGAATTAAAATCAAATCGGTGTCGACGCCTTCAAAAAACCAAAAATTCTGTGTAAATATAAAGTTTTATGAATAACGAGCAACAATCTTATGTGAAACTTTCCAAAAAAAGAATAATGATTATGACACTAACCTCCAGAAACCAACGTATCATTCATTTCATTTATAGCTAAAGCCTTCACTTCGTGTTCGTGATATCTTCGATATCCAACAAGTTCCCAAAAGGGAATAGATTCTGATCTCATCTTATGTGGATATTTTGAATGCTTCGGGCCTACCAATTTGAAAAGATTGCATTTATAATCTACACCACAAGAGAAAACTGCAGTTCCTTCCTTTTGTATTAAATCAAATATAGAGGCAAGATGTACTTAATTTTGAAAATCTAAAATCAATTTAGTTTTAAGAAATGGTATAAATTTACTTCGTTCGTAGTTAAACACAAAACGGGCGCACTATGTTGATGATATTTTTGTAACATCGTGCCCATATTTCCTTCCCAGAATTTGACATGACCAAGAGAATCGCCACTGACAATAGTATTGTCTCTTTTTTTTAAAAAAAGAACAAATTTGAGAATTAGTTTAATTTTTTCCGTTTGATTAAATGTTCGTATCGACAATGAGGTAAAAACTTACTTTAAACAT